GCCTGGGGTGCGCTGGAGCTCACAGCTCGGTTTCTGGGAAGTGGCTTTCTCTTTTGTTTATTTATTTTTAAGTAATCTCTACACCCAACGTGGGGCTTGAACTCACAACCTGGGGGTTAGGACTCCCACACTCCACCCACTGAGCCAGCCAGGAACCCCAGTTGCTTTTCTCCTTTAAACTGCACTTTCTCCCAAGAGGCACTACACGAAGCTACCAGCGCCTTGACCTGAATGATTTTGCCAGACCCTTCTCCTGCTGGACGGGCGTGTGAGGCAGCTCGTCTGGAGTAATAGCTCTCAGTTTTTTGGTCCCAAGACTCTTCTCTTCCTGGAGAAACTGGAGGCCCAGAGAGCTTTTTCATTTGTGGGTTGTATCAGTATTTATCATATTACCCATTAAAGTGAGGATTTTAGAGACTGGTAATTCATTCAAGCACATGAGTAAGTCACTTATATGCCAACAGTGACATTTTTAATGAAAAATAACTTTGAAAATTTAGTGAGAAGCCTTGCATTATTTGACGTGTTTTGCCAACCCCCTTCGTGTCTGGCTCAGTAGCGGATAGGCGGGACTGTCCCATGTGCTGTAGCATTTCGCCTGTTACAGTGTGTTGATGTCGTGAGTGTAGGTGAAGGGAAACCGCTCCGCCACGCATCTGTGGTTCAGAAAGGGACGAGTGTTTTCAGTGGCCTTTCCAGGAAATTGTGGACATCGTACTTTAATACTACACCAAAGCTTGGCAGGTGGCACTTTTCTTAACATTTAGTACAGCGAGGAGCCTGAAGCCATGTCAGTGAACTTTATTTCACTAAAATGCGTGGGTCTCTTCTTGCACTTGGAATGGATTTTTGAATCCCGTTTGTTAGCTGAATGCACGTCTTCCAGATGCTGACATATTTCATGACACAGCATCAAAAAATGGTTAATCTCATCAGAAAAGTCAAGTATTGGAAAAACTGAACTTTTGATGGCAGATGCAGGTCTTCCAAGAGTCTTCTTTTTGGTACAAAGCTTGATTTTCTCATTGGCAACTATTATATGTTTTCCTTGAAGTGATCATTTTCGAGACAGTACCTGCCGTCCACCTGGGTCTTCATGGCCATGGTTTTTCTGTCCTTTGTTCTTTCAAGTAAGTGGTGTTCCCGGAGGAAGTTCTAGCCCTGCTCACGAGCCATACGGTTGTACAGCCACTCTCCTGGGACAGCCGGGTGCTGTGCGCACTCATATTTCATCGTGCGGAGTGTTCGGATGTATTGTCAGGGGTCGAAGTTTAGTAAAATTATTAATTTTTATGGCTTCCTCCAGGTTATTACTAAGTGAAAGCAGCCTTTATTTTTTAATTTTTTTTAATGTTTTGTTTATTTCTGAGAGACAGCGTGAGCCAGGGGAGGGTCAGAGAGGGAGACACAGAATCTGAAACAGGCTCCAGGCTCTGGGCTGGTGGTCAGCACAGAGCCCGATGCAGGGCTCGAACCCATGAACTGTGAGATCATGACCTGAGCCGAAGTCAGACGCTCAACCAACTGAGCCACCTAGGCGCCCCCCGACAGGCTTTTTTAAAGGCTGCTTTCAGGGTGCCTGAGTGGCTCAGTTGGTTAAGCATTTGACTTCGGCTCAGGTCATGATCCCATGGTTGTGGTTTCGAGCCCTGTGTCGGGCTCTGTGCTGACGGTCAGCTCAGAGCCTGGAGCCTGTTTCAGATTCTGTGTCTCCCTTTCTGACCCTCCTCTGCTCACGCTGTCTCTCTCTCTTTCTCAGAAATAAACAAAACATTAAAAAGAAAAGAAAAGAAAAAGCCTGCTGGGGTGCAGGATACCTGATGCAGGGTACTTGTGCTCTGCTTCCACCCTGGCCGGCCTTGCGGATCTCAGCACCGGCAGAGGGACAAATGTCTTGGTGTTGCCATGACCACACTGTTGACTTTCTGGATCACTCCATGGGGGCTGGGGGGCCATGGGTCTGTGGATAATGCTTTGAGCAGCGGGGGGTGGAATCTGACTCTGGAAGCAAAGCCAGTGTTGGAGCTCCGGCTCCATGCCGGCCGCGGGGTCTGAGTGAGACGAGGGCCTTTCTCAGCCCATCTGGGGGGCAGCACGGCTTGTTAGGCAGGCTGTTGCAGGGGCCGCGTGGGAGGAGTGACGAAAGCGTGCCTTCTGAGGGGCCTAGTGCAGAGGAGGCACCGGTGTGGCCATCTCCCTGCCCTTCCTGGGACCTTGAGCAGGCACTGGCGCTGTGGGGGCAGGGGAGGGTTGGGAAGGTCAGGTCTGCCCTGGCGTGTGCCTGCAATCCAGTGGCTCTCTTGGCTCTTCCTCCTTGCTTGTCTCCAGGACTGGAGAGAAGGTGGAAAGGGAGCAGCAGGTCTCTCTGAGGCTGCTTGTGTGGAGGGGACTGCCTGGCTTCTCGGGACCCATCACTTGTCTACGTGGGACCCGCTGTAGGCTGAGCCAGCTTCTCTGAGAATTGGCAGTGTCTTCTGATGGCTGTCGTCTCCTGAGCACTGGGGACTCTTTACAGATCACTCTGGTTCAGCCTCATTGGTCTCCATGGTGGCGGAGGACGGGGGACGTTCGCAGCTGAGAAGTACCATCTCAAGGGTGAGGCGCGCCGTGCTCGGGCCATCTGAGTGTGGTCTAGGACAGAGTTCACTTCTCTCCCGTGCTGACACTGCCACAGCATGCCTTTGTCACGTGAGGTGAGACCGGAACTTCCCAAGCCCTCACGTTAATTTTCAAAAATGAACATCTGACAGTAGTTTGAAGACGGTGACCAGCATCAGCCAAGGTTGACAGTCCCTGCGCAAGAAAGATGACAGTCCGTGTGAAGACATTGGCTCCTCAGTTTATCACGTGGGTTTTCCTTGTTGCAGTCTTAGGGGTGGAAAAAGCGTGATGGGGATTGAACTTTGAGAAGAAGAGTCTGTGCTGTTGACATTGCTAGTCTGGTCGTCTGTCCTGTAGGTTAAATGTCAAGCCCCTGTGTGGCTGACACCCCAGGTCTGTCCGCAGGAGAGCTCTTGCCGGCTAAGCGGTGCCGGGGGTTAGTGTGTTCCAGGCCCAGACCCACCAGCAAGGACTGCTCTTTCGGAGGGAACCGTGCCTTTATGCCTCCAGGTAGAGTGGCCTTGTGTCCTCCCCGCTGGTGTCATGCTGGCTTGGTACTCAGAACGTCTTTATTGGATCTAGACTTGATGTCATGTGTGTATAAGCCCTGAATTTTAACAAGGCTTGCACGTTATTGATTTTTGTCCTGAAGAAGTCTCCCAGTAATGCCTCCTGTCGCTCCGAGCCCGCATATATGGAAGCATTTGAGTGTGTTGTGTCGTTAGATTGCAGCGGCGTTTCCCGGTCCCCAAGAGGGAGGGCGCTCTGCCCGCCCCCGCACGGATGGCGGAGCTGTTGGCGTTTCTCCTCCCCGTCGTGTTGCTTTAAGGAGGTAGTGGTGGCGCTCCGGGTGCAGAATGTGAAGCTGTCTCACTAGAGCAACAGGTGTGGCAGAAGGGGTGCTGCTGGCTTGCACTTGGCTCCTTGTTGAAGTGGTGCTGCATCCTGACATCGTGACCTTGAGAAAGTCGCTTCCCTTGGTTTTGTCTCAGATTCTTCATGTGTAAACTAGGGTTCAGGACCCATGCTCCTGTCGGCTACAGGGGGCGTTTGGTTGTGGGGTGTTAGAGTGGGGCTCAAAGGCAGGACGACACTGGCGAGCCCCCTGCAGAGGTGCTGGCCGAGAGGGACACGGCCTGCGCTGCTAGTGGGCCAGGACCCGGTCCCTCGCGGAGGACGCCTGCGTCTGAGTGTCCGCTCCTTCGTGCTCTGGCACGTCAGTTCACCTTTCTGTGCCTCGCTCTTCTCACCCAAAAACGGGCCTTAAAGTAACTCCTATGACAGTACCTGCCCCTCGGAGGTTACCCGAGGTTCAGAGCCCGGTTCCCTGCACGTGGGAGACGCCAAGTCCATGTTGGCCCTGATCGTGGTCTGGGCTGCAGGCGGCCTTTTCCTGCATGTGAGAAAGTTGCGTGTCAGGGAACTTAACCAGATGTGTGGTTTAGCCAGAGCCTTACAACAGATGCTGCAGTATCTCAAAGGGGCTGCGATTTGGGTGCCCGGGTGGCTCAGGTGGTTAAGCATCTGACTTCATCTCAGGTCATATCATGGCTCGTGGGGTCGAGCCGTGCGTCGGGCTCTGTGCTGACAGAGCCTGTCTTGGGTTCTGGGTCTCCCTCTCTCTGTCCCTCCCTCACTCTGTCTCTCTCTTGAAAATAAATATTAAAAAAATAAAGCAGCCGTCATTTAACGAGGGTGGGTTCTAACTAAGGAGGCCAGTGGGAAAAGGAAGGTGTCTCCTCAGTGCAGTGGGTGTGACTTACCCAAGGGAGTCTTTCTGTGAGATTCCTCTAGGTTTGGGGAGAAAAGCTGAGGTGTACCGAGTGGTGTTTTTCCCTCGCTGTGAGTGTACAGGTTGTGAACGTTTCCTAACATTGTGTTGGCAAAATGGTATTTGAAGCACCACCTTGAATGCCTTCTACGGGAAAGAGGCAGAGAAAAGCTAAAACAAAACAGTCACTTAAATGTCTTGGATTACTCTGTTTTACTTCCTGAAGAGATCATTTGGATGTGTTGTTTTGAGCAGAACTGGCAAATGCTATTTCCACCTGGTTTACCTGTTGGGTAAGGGCCGTGGCAGACATGGTGTCGGGCGCATGGTAGTGAAAGATCAGTGGACTAGGAATCAGGACACCTGAATCCTAAGCCCGAGTCCCAGCTCTGCCACTACCTGCTGTTTGATGTTGGGCAAGTCCCCCCACCTTTCTGGATCTCAGGTGTGAGACCCGAAAAGCGGAGAAGATGCTGGTCATCTTGCCCTGCTAACTTCCCCTGGGGCGGCAGGAGGCTTGGGGAGAAGCCTGGTAAACTGCTTTACAACCAGAGTACAAGTTTTAACGTAACAAATGGCTGCTGATAACCAAGCTCTGACCCTCCTAATGAAATATTTTCTTTCTCAGTGATGTTACAGCCTTTCGATTATGATCCCAATGAGAAAAGTAAACACAAGTTTATGGTTCAGTCTATGTTTGCTCCAACTGACACTTCTGATATGGAAGCAGTAGTAAGTACTGAATGCTTCTTACTTTTTTTTTAGTAATTAAAAAAATGAATAGGTACAGAATTTGGGGTGCATGCATTTCACAATGTGTCAAAACTGTTTTTAAAGGGGAGTGGTGTTTCCAAGGAGGTTTGTACTTTGACTACCTTTATGGTTTTTCTCAGACTTTGATTTTAAGCTTTTATGTAACTCTCCAGAACACTGTTCTGACTTTTATATCCGTTTGCTTCAGCGGTTCCTTGCTCTGATGGATGGTATCTCAAATGTTTGAGGATTCCCTCCCCTTTACGTGTCTCCCCTTCCATCCCCCAAAGAAAAAGGTCCTTCTCACTGAACGGGATGTCCCTTACTGTGGCTTCCCCATCCTCCCCCCGGAACCCAGAGGGGATGTGAGAGAGCGGATGCTAAATGTCCTTCAGGGCTTCAGGGTTTAGTTTTTGCTTGGTTCTGGTATGCCTGGGTCCCCCACCCCCACCCCCCGCCCCCCTCCTCCCTAGTTTCCCTCATTTTATTTTCCCTGCTTCCATACATGTTTAACAAGACATGTTCAATACATGTCTCTAATTTTGTTCCAAATAAGATAATTTTGTTTTTTATAAAATAAATAAGTGATATTGTAGTATTGGTTTTTCTGGAAAAAGATTATAAGTAGGCTCCTTACACATCTGAGTTAATCAGCAGGCATCTCACCGGCCACGGATAACGTCCTGGGCCACGGCCCCCGCTAGGCCCGGCCGGTCCCCACAGACGGGGAAGGAAGGCCAGGCCCTCTCATCATGTCCATCACTGTCCAGCTCGCCAGCCCAGGCCAGGAGTCCAGTCAGCGAGGCGTGCCCGCAGATGTGAGGCCGTGGTGGCTCACGTGGTCCCGTGGTCTTTCTCTTCCAAAATTCTTTGCTGAGGGCTTTTGAGGCACAGCTTCCCGTCACGTCCCAGTGTCCCCACTCAGCCTTCTCTGTCAGTCTTGGGAAAACACCGCCGGCTGTCTTGGTCGATGTTCACGTTTGGGGCAGGAAATAAAGGGGAAGGCAGATATTTTGAGGTTTGAGAGAGATCGGTGATAATAGGCGATGTTCCCTTTTCATAAGAATGATTGTTGAGGCATTCACTGCTTTCTCTCCTGTTTCCCAGAGCGTGATGTGTCCCTTTATGTTACTGTGTGTGAGCAAGGATGTGTGGCAGGTGGAGAGCTGGGGTGTCCCGGAGTGTGTGCTGCTTGGCTTTTGCTGCACGGCTTACAGATGGGAACGCGGCCCTGGGCGTCTGTGGTGTGGGGCCGGGTTCTGCTCTTACTAACGTGGTGGCCACGGGCAGTTTTCATTAACTCTCCCTAGGGTTTGGTCACCGGTAAAATGGGGATAAAAACCTAGTTGACACGCTGCCCTGGGGTCCAGTGTGCTGTGCGTGATGGACACCCGGCCCAGGGTCCAGAGTTGCCGGGTCTGAGAGCTGTTATAGTCCAGGCCCAGGTTTCACTCCCTTGTAGGAGAATTTTATAATAGTTAAAAGTTTGTATAGGAAAGGTACATTGTAGGAAATTTTGGAAATACACAAGCAAAAATAAAACTGAAAGTAGCCTGTAATTTGTCTATGCTGGACCTAACCACTGTTACTGAGAGTCTTGTGCTAGTTCTTTGAACTATTTTGTGTTTTGATGTACAGAAAGTAGACAGTTTATACAGCGACTACTCATATAACCTTTACCTGGAATCACCATTTAACACTTTGCCACATTTGCTTCATTTCTGCTGTAAACTTTCTTTTTTGCTTAACTGCTTGGCTGGAAGACGCGGACGTCCCATGGCTCTTGAGCCCCGCGCGCTTCAGGGCAGGGACATCTCCTGCGTAGCCACAGGGCTGTCCTCGTAGCTGAGAGTCGGCATTGGTTCAGTCACTCTGTCTAGCCGAAAGGCCCCTGTGCAGCCTGTCCCTGTCACTCCACACTGGCCTGGGGTAAGAACACCCAGTACGCTCAACCTTTTCCGTTTTCGTGACTTTGAATTTTTTAGAGTCCAGGCCAGTTAACTTGTGTGTCCCGCATTCTGGATTTGTCCAGTCATTTCCTCACGATCAGATTCAAGTTAAATGTGTTTTGGCAAGAATGTCGTGTAAGTAATGCCCTGAATGCCCCCTACCAGAAGGCCCGGACCCTGGCTTGTCCCCTGGTGGTGATGTGGAGTCGGGTTACTTGGTTGAGATGGTGACGTGGCTTCCGGCGTCCCAGCGTCCAAGCACAGTTACCCCTTGTGTCATAGGTGATCTGCGATACTTGTGGGTCCTCGGAGCCCATGGGAACATCCTGCGCACCTGCAGTCTCACCTGGTACTTGTGGTGTCCAGGGATGATCCTTGCTTGATGCTCTTTTGACATACGCACACGTACGCGCGCGCGCGTGTGTGTGTGTGTGTGTGTGTGTGTGTGTGTACAGAGGAACAGACTTAAGATATTGTTTTGTAGCTCCTTCACTTATTATTCTGTGTAATTAAATACTCTTCAGTATCATTCGAATGGCTGCCGCCCCACTGCCTGACCTGCCACGTGTTTGGCAGTTGTGATGCTCGCCGCGATCTCGGCTCCGGCACCATCGTTGCCGTGGCTGCCTCCCGCGGGTCCCTGGCGATGGTGGGCGAGTGTAAGCTTCCTGGCTCTGCTGGCCCGCACTTCTCGGCATGCCCTGGGATTCCCGGCCTCCACTGCCGGGGGAGGAGGACCGAGCCAGGAGCACATCATCCTGGGGCGTGGATTTAGCCAGGAAGGTGTTCCTGCCCACAGGCTGGAGGGCGTGGGGTCCACCCAGACAGCCGCTTGCTAGTTGTGGCCTGTTGGTAGTTGGCAGTGTGCTTCTAAAATCACGCGCAGGTAGTGTGCGCTTCCTCTCTCTAAGAAGGGTATGTCCCTCAAAGCAGATTTTATTTTCCTGAGGAGAACCCGAGTTACCTGAGGTCTTCAGACATAATTTAGAAAACCCCTCTTCCTTTGGTGGTGGTCAGTTGTCTCCGTCCCACGTGCCTCCCCTAGGCAGCAGCAGGAGCAGCGCCGGTGGGCGGCGAGCCTGGGTTCGGGAAGTGTAAGACACAAGTGTGCAGGAAGGCTCGTGCATTTAGTCTCGTTGTTAAAAATACAGAAATCTCTGCAGACGTAAGTTCTCTATTTGATATACATCAGGGCTTTCTCATTAAGAGTATTTTTCTGAAATTGTCAGTTATACGAAGAAAATTATTCCTCCAGCAGCTTTATAATATCCTGATTATTAAATTTAAATTGTTTTAGTGGAAGGAGGCAAAACCGGAAGACCTTATGGATTCAAAACTTAGATGTGTGTTTGAATTGCCAGCAGAAAATGAGAAACCAGTAAGTATGTTTATACTTCACAGTAATTGAATGTTGCGGCTGATGCTTATCTGCATACCATCTCCTACAAAACCAAGATTTAAGTTGGCAAATTATTTTCCTTCCTCTGATGTGTGATGAAAAAAATAAGCTGAAGTCAACAAGTAAGCGGGCCTCCACGAGATCAGCCTTTGCGAGGCTCACAGGAGGCACCTCATTGAAGCCAGTTTTTTTCTTGAGAAGTGCAGCCTGCGGGCTGCTGAGATGTCGTACGTCCCAAAGAGCTTCTCTGACTTGGCAAAGTTAGAGGTTGCTGTAAAACAGTGGGTAAGTCTCAAACTGGGAATAATTTGCTGTTTATCATGGTGCTTGCCTGACAGGCAGCGAGCCCCCGGGCTCTGTCCCACCGCCCGCCCGCTGTCTCAGGTCTCCCTTTCCCTCCCTCCCTCCCCTCCCCCTCCCGCCTCTTCGGCTGAAACTTGCTTGTACGTCAGGGTTTCTCAACCTCAGCGCTATCAGTGTCGGGGACGGGCCCATCCTGGGCCTCGTACGCTGTCTGGCTGCACCCCTGGCTTCTGCTCACTGCATACGAGTAGTCGCCCCCCCCGTGTGACACCACAGGTGTCTCCAGACATTGCCCATCATGCATGGGGGCGGCGGAATCTTCGCCTCCACTGGGAGTCACCCCTGTGAGAGGACCGGCTCCCCCCAAGCTGTTGGCACGTTTTCCTCTGGGAAGCCGGGGGTAGTCCCGTCGTGGCCCTTTCCTGTGACCGGTTGGAGAGAGAAGACTGTATCTGAAGTGCTGACTTGGACCTTCCTGCAACCCTGTCAGAAAAGCTTAAACTGTATTAAAAGCACTGTTTACAACCCCCGCAGCGTATTCCGCCACCCTGGCTGTTAATAGCTGGAGCTGGGAAGTGGAAACGCTCACGTTCTGTTAACATCGTCCATAGCGAAGTCCAGGACTGCTGTTGCGGGGTCACCACTGCTTCGTGTCTTCTTCCTGCTCAGCCACCGACCGCTCTCGTCCTGTTTCCTGGATGGGTAGCGGCCTGTTGTGTTGTTGCTTTTTTCTCTTCCCGTTGCACATCCCCGTGAGGTCGGTTTGGGGAGCCGGGGCAGCGCTGTTGGGCTGCTGGCTCTGCCGAGCCAGCTTGGCGGACGGCGTTGGGGGCGCCCTGGCAGGAGCCCCTCCTCTCCCCTGGAAGACGGAGCGCGCGATGGGGGACAGCTAGTCGTGTTCCGAGTGCTGCACAGAGTCCCCAGGGCGGTGGTCCCCGCCTGTTCTGTTCCCCCAGCACACCTGGACAGCTCCGTGTCCCCCTCCCCGGTCTCGACCCCTCCCCAGGCACTCTCCAGAGGCCATCATGACCATCTTGGGCAGGATGGGGGAGGGGGGTGCAGAGCTTCCGAGGATTGAAATACCACAGACGCTGAACTCGTTTCACCTTCAGCCCAGCTTCGAGGGCCCGAGTTCATGGCATAAATCGCCCTCTGTGTCATGTTCTCCCTGGCCTCCCTCCTCCGCCATCCCAGCCCATCCTGGGCATGTTCAGGGCTTCCTGGTGACAGTAATTTGTGGCTAATAACTCCTGAGCTTGCATGATTACGCTATGCTGATTTTTGCCTGGCCGGAACTTGCTAGTGCAGTGTGCGCAGCCCTTTTTCTCTTTCTTTGAAGTATTAGTCTCAGCCGAACTTCATTATTTGCCCTTATCCATAATTTCTGGGGCCCAGTTGCTTTAGATTATTAAGATACTAGATAAAGTGATCCATTTTTAAAATAAATGTGACATTTTACAGTGTGGATGAAACACGACCACGTGTGGTGTTTGCTGAGAACTACTTTACTTTGCATAAAAAAGTCCTTTATTACATAGTTGGTGACACTTGGGCTTTCATTTATTTCTGAACAGCATGATGTAGAAATAAATAAAATTATACCCACAACCGCAACAAAGACAGAAACACCAACGGTGTCTAAAGCTCTGAGTTCCTCTTTGGATGACACTGAAGTTAAGAAGGTCATGGAAGAATGTAAGAGGCTGCAAGGTGAAGTTCAGAGGCTACGGGAGGAGAACAAGCAATTCAAGGTAAGGGCTTTTTCTTTTTTTTCCTATTTTCTAAAATTTGTATGTTTGTTTGTTTATTTATTTTCATTTACATCCAAGTTAGTTAGCATATAGTGCAACCGTGATTTCAGGAGTAGATTCCTTAATGCCCCTCACCCATGTAGCCCCTCCTCCTACCCCAACCCCTCTAGTAATCCTGTTTGTTCTCCATATGTAAGTCTCTTGTGTTTTGTTCCCCTCCCTGTTTTTATATTATTTTTGCTTCCCTTCCCTTATGTTCATCTGTTTTGTATCTTAAAGTCCTCAGATGAGTGAAGTCATAGGATATTTGTCTTTCTCTGACAAATTTCATTTAGCCTAATACTCTCCAGTTTCATCCACATAGTTGCAGATGGCAAAAAGATTTCATTCTTTTTGATTGCCGAGTAATAAATACTCCATTGTGTATATATATATATATATATTTTTTTAATTTATTTCTGAGAGAGAGAGAGAGAGGGAGGGAGAGAGAGAGGGAGAGAGAGAGGGAGAGAGACAGCATGAGTAGGGGAGGGTCAGAGAGAGGGAGATACAGAATCTGAAGCAGGCTCTGAGCTAGCTGTCAACAGAGCCCGACGCAGGGCTCGAACACACAAACCGTGGGATCATGACCTGAGCTGAAGTCGGACGCTTAACCGACTGAGCCACCCAGGTACCCCTACTCCATTGTATATATACACCACATCTTCTTTATCCGTTCGTCCGTTGATGGACTCTTTCCATACTTTGGCTATTGCTGGTACTGCTGCTGTAATGTGTGTCCTTTCAAAACAGCACTCCTGTATCCTTTGGATAAATACCTAGTAGTGCAGTCGCTGGGTCATAGGGTAGTTCTATTTTTAATTTTTTGAGGAGCTTCCAAACTTTTTTCCAGAGTGGCTGCACCAGTTTGCGTTCCCACCAGCAGTGCAAAGGAGATCCTCTTTTCTCCGCATCCTTGCCAACATCTGTTGGCTGAGTTGTTAACGTTGGCCATTCTGACAGGTGTGAGATGGTATCTCATTGTGGTTTTGATTTGTATTTCCCTGATGATGAGTGATGTTGAGCATTTTTTCATGTGTTGGTTGGCCATCTGGATGTCTTCTTTGGAGAAGTGTCTGTTCATGTCTTTTGCCCATTTCTTCACTGGACTGTTTGTTTTTTGAGTGTTGAGTTTGGTAAGTTCTTTATAGATTTTGGATACTAATCCTTTAACTGATATGTTGTTTGCAGGTATCTTCTCCCATTTTGTTGGTTGCCTTTTAGTTTTTCTGATTGTTTCCTTTTATTATTTTATTTTATTTTATTTATTTTATTTTTTTATTTTATTTTATTTTATTTTATTTTATTTTATTTTATTTTATTTTATTTTATTTTATTTTATTATTTTATTTTATCTTGTTTTGTTTTATTTTGATGAGGTCCCAATAGTTCATTTTTGCTTTTGTTTCCCTTGCCTCCAGAGAAGTGTTCAGTAAGAAGTTCCTGTGGCCGAAGTGAAAGAGGTTTTTGCCTGCTTTCTCCTCGAGGATTTTGATGGCTTCCTGTCTCACGTTTAGGTCTTCCACTCATTTTGAGTTTACTTTTGTGTGTGGTGTAAGAAGGTGGTCCAGGTTTATTCCCCTGTATGTCGCTTTCCAGTTTTCCTGGCACCACTTGTTTGGATATTCTTTCCTGCTTTGTCAAAGATTAGTTGGCCATACATTTGTGCGTCCATTTCTGGATTCTCTGTTCTGTTTCATTGATCTGAGTGTCTGTTTTGGGGGCCAAGATTCTATGTGTTTTTAAAGTAATCTCCACACCCAGCATGGGGCTTAAATTCAACAACCCCAAGATCAAGAGTCGCGAGTCGCACGCTCTACTGACTGAGCCAGCCAGGCGCTCCAGTGGCATTTTATTCTCTGACAGTCTGCAGAAAACGGGGGCTTTCCCCTGTGATTTTGGGTGGCAAAGTTGATGAATCCCTGAATTCTGTAGAGTTGTTTTGTATTTGCACATTCTTTCCTCAGGGAGAAATTTCTGTGGCTTTTCATCAGGTTCTCAAAAGAGTTCTGAACAGTCCCCTTGCCCCCTAATTAACCAGCGTCCTTTGAGCAGAAGTTTCTCAGCTATGTAAATTCTTGTTCCCTTGTACTTTATATGTTATAATTTATTGGAAGTAGGGATTATCATCATCCCCACTTTCCAGATAAAGAAACTGAGGAACAGAGAGGTTAAGTGACACCTGAGGTCACACTGCTACTGAGATTCGAAGCCGGGCTGTGCCCCCGAGCTGCCGTCTCTCCCGTTCTCCTGCCTCAGCCTGCTTACAGAGAAGCACAGCGCCTCGTCCTCCCACTAGTGTCAATTGAAGATAAATTCTGAGATTAAAGACTAAACTGCAGTGAGCATCTTGACTTCACGTTTGCAAACCCTACTCCGTCAGCACTGGATGAGAGTCTCTTTTTAGGAGGGTAAACGTGTTCTGTTTTAACATAGGCATCATTCTGGACTCTGGGGATTCTAGGCGGGTCTGGGCAGTAGGGTCTCCGCTCACTACGAACGTGGTGAGGAGGTCGGAGCAGGAAGGGGTCACAGCAGCAGGTGGAGCGTGCAGGGGACCCCCGAGTCTCGAGTTCATGGATGCTGACGGAGGGGTCGGTGCTGGCGCAGAGTGTGGGGTGGGGGTGGGGGGCGTGCCTCGTTTGGCCCTGGAGGCCTCACGTGTTGTGGAAGTGACGGTTCACACTTGACCAGCTCTGAGTCTGTGGTGGTGGTGGCATCTCCAGGGTCCCCGCTCACAGGACATGTCTGAGGCCCCTTCCAGCTTCAGAAGTGTGTCTGTTTCAGAACAGGGCCTCGACGAGGTTGCCGAACATCTGATCATAGCAACTTGTGTTGCCGCTCAGGTGTGAGGCCGGGCTGTTTTCTTCTCCTTGATTGTGCCGCCCACACGTGTCCTAGACTCTGGCCACCTACCATAGCACCAGATCCACGTACTCCATCCAGTTCAGTTGACTTTTCCTTCTTTTATTCTGATAAAGTCTGGAAAATGGCATCATCTTCTTTCTTTGCAGTAATCTTGGTTTGCCTCATTCAGTAACTTTTAGTACAGAGTAAATTATGAAGCTGACACTTTTCTTTTTGACCGAAAATCTAAGATCTGCCTAAAGCTTTTTCCTTGAGTGTATTTCTCTTCAGAAACAGAGTCCTGTGCCGTTTAAAGTGATAAATAGGTAGAAATAGCTTCTCTATAAACCCAGTGAAATAAATGCTGTATTTTGCTGTGCCCATTTTTTTTTTTTTTGAAGTTAATCGAATAACACCGGCCATTCATCACTGTGCAGCGTATTGGCCATGCCCCACGAGCAGAATATCTTCACAATATTATCAGACCAGTCTTGACGTTAGAAGATTCTTTATCCCTCCCAAGCACTGATTTCTTGTTTTGTGTTGTTTCATTCTTTCACTTGGCCAGCGTGTCTTCCGAGGGCCAGCGCTGTGCCCGGCAGTGCGGGTGTGACATGAGCTGTCCCTGTGGCGGCAGGGCTCCCCGCCGACCGGGCTGGCTGGGGAGACACACACGTGGGTCCCAAAGACCTGAGTGATGCGTGGTCCCACAAAGATGGCCACGGCCACGGCGCCCTGCAGAGTCAGCTCCACGGGCCTGGGGTGGGCAGGGGCCAGCTCGCTGGGATGCCCCGGGGCCACGTACAGAGACCCAGGCCCTGTTGAGGAGTGTGCGCTGGGCCTTGGGAGCAGTGAAGGAATTAAAAGTTTCTGTTCCGTGCATAATCTACATGGGGGGGGTGGCGGTATGTGTATATATATGTGTGTACACACACACACACACACACACACACACACACACACACACACACAAAAGGATGTTGCTTCTTTGGCAGGAATTCCATACTTGAAGTAGAAAATATTTGAGATACATTTATCACCCTGTCACATCTTAATACTATTCCAGATTCCATTGTTTCTCTCCAGATCCCATTGTTCTCCGTGTGACTCATCAACTACAGAACTCTGCATTTGAAATGTCCTTCTGGGCCCCCCCACCTCTGTAGTTTCTTGTGATTTTTAGATTTGGGCTTTGGAAAATGCCTATCGTTCTAAAATTGATGGCTTGATTGTGGAAAGCTGCTCATTAGAGGAAGGAAGGACAGAGAGGGTTGGAGTCAGATGTAGAAGAAGGGCTCAGAGACGTGGGTGGCCCCAGGGTGCAGAGGGCCTGCGGACCCTCTCAGAAACTTTTTTTCTGTAAGTCATGGGGGAACCGAGGCCCTGCTTAGACGTGTGGTGTAAAGAGGTGCCTGGCAGCCTCGTGTAGGCGGGAGGAAGAAAAGAGGGGCCGGCTGCTGGCATTTCTCAGTGGCCTCAAGCCAGCGCCGCCTTCTCTGTGGGATTTGGTCTCTCTCTTTGACAAATGAGGAGGCTGGACCACAGCATGTGCTCCAGGTCTGTGCTTAAGAGCCCCCCTGCTCTGCTGAACTGTACAGTTGACTTCTGCTGCTGGGGCCTTGGGTTGTCTTTGAAATGTGCGTTTACTCCCATAGGAGGAAGATGGACTTCGGATGAGGAAGGCGGCGCAGAGCCACAGCCCCGCTCCTGGGTCAGCCTCGGCCGGGAAGGAGGAGGGCCTCAGCACCCGGCTCCTCGCTCTCGTGGTTTTGTTCTTCATCGTCGGTGTGATCATAGGGAAGATCGCCTTGTAGGCGCGGCAGGCGGAGGGAGGCACGCTGCATCGATGGGCCCGCTGTTCCATGGGGTTTGAATTTATCATAACCATGTGTCAAACGAAGTTAATGTATGATGACATCTCACAGGTCTTGCCTTTAAATTACCCCCTCCCTGCACGTGCACACGCGTGCACGCACACACACACACACACAAATTATAACGTAACAATCTTTTAGAAAGTTAAAAATGCATAGTAAATGATTGGGGGGAAAATAATGATCTTTATTAATGACAAGGGAAACCGTGATTAAACCATAATGGCATGTTGTAAGTGTCATTTGAAGCATTTGTAGCCTTGGTACATGTGGCTGGATTGATTACCTCTCTTAGAACAAGACACTCTTCCTGCCGGTTGGTGCTGGCCCTGGGGGAGCTGGAGCCCAGGGGGCGGGTGGGGAGGGCTGTCCCCCTCCTCAGATCAACCCTTCACCCGGGAGAGCTGGAGCCCAGCGCAGGGGGTGGGGTGTGGAGGGCTGTCCCCCACCACAGAGCAACTCCCCACCCGCCCACCCGCTCCCCAGGCTGCTTCCCCACCTTCTGCCCTGGCCGTCAGTTCCTTGGGACTGATGAACAGTGTCAGAAGCCAAAAGAATTGTGCTGTGGCGGCATCAGATCTGCCCGTCAGGAGTGGGAGGCCCATGGTGACTGAGTGACCCAACACTTTGGAAATTAAAGTCAATGCTTTGTTCTCTTAAAGGGACCAAGCCAAACCACTGTTGGTTCATGTAGTGAGATTGAATTGTTATTCAGAGATGTTTAATGCATATTTAACTTATTTAATGTATTTCATCTCATGTTTCCTTGTTGCCACGAGATTATAATTAATGCTGTGGCCCAAGAATCACCTGTGCTCCCTGATGCTGGTGGGCACAGCTGGCAGCGCCACTCGAGGGCCGCGGGCTCCCCTCTCCCCTTGGTGGCCCTGGGCGCCCCGCACGGATGCGGGGTGGGGGGCTCGGTGTGGGGGCGGCTGCCCGGGAGTGTTTCTCTGTGTGAATAAACAGAAGTCGTCGTCGAGAGGGCAGTTCTGAGTGTCCATGGTCAGCTCTGTCTCCCCTCCCGATGCAGGAGGGTCGCTGGCCTTCTTCCTTGTCCCTTTGTTGTCCCCCAGCCGCCACTCTTGCTTTAGCACGTGCGCCCTGAGTCTGGTCCTGACCTTTCCTGTGTGGCCCTCCCGGGATGGGGCGGCGGGTTGGAAGCGGTCACAGAGCCAGCCGGGCGGGGGTGGGGAGAGGGGCGATAGGCTCTCCGGATAGTCGTCAAGTAGTGATTGGGAGTTTTGACTGTAAATTAATTTTATGCCATAAAAGACCAATCCAATTCTGTTCGACTATGTAGCATCTTAAAAAGAAAAAAAATTAAAATAAAGCCCCAAAATTAAGAGTTCTTTTGTCTTTTTGTTACATTTGCTATGGGGGAAATTATTATTTTTGTGATCCTCATTATTATTTTGTTATTGGAAGGCTGGCTTTAAAATGAGCCCCATCAACGAGAAATACATGTTTAATGATTTAAATAGATACAGCGTGTGCGTGTGTGTGTGTGTTTGTGTGTGTTGTTGGCTTCCACTGAGAGTATAAAAATAAAACTGTTGAAAATGTGGGGCACCTGGGTGGCTCAGTCAGTTAAGCATCTGACTTTGGCTCAGGCCATGATCTCACGTTCATGGGTTCAAGCCCTGCATCAGGCTCTGTGCTGACAGCTCGGTGCCTGGAGCTACTTCCGATTCTGTGTCTCCCTCTCTCTCTGACCCTCCCCTACTCACACACACTCTCTCTCTCCGAAAAAAATTTAAAAAATTAAAAAAACATTAAAAAAATAAAAAAGCAAACTTAAGCAGCTGATCACCCTTGCCCTTCCGTTGCTTTGCCCTTTGGTAGGAAAAGAACTCTCCTTTAGGTCGAGGAGCCAGGCAGGGAAGATTGGGGGAAGGCACGCTGTGCTGGGCATGGCTCCAGGGGGCGGGTGGCCTTGAAGAGACAGATTCGCCGCAAGGAAGGACGCTGTTAGAAGTCATTCACTCGAGTTGCTCCAGAGCCTGGCTGAGGCAGAAGGTCCTTGGCTCTGGCTCCAGGAGTCTGGTCAGGGATCTGGGGACTGGTGGCTGGATGTCCGTGGGCTGAGGAAGTAGCTTCTGTCTTCGTGAGCAGTTACTGCGCGTCCCGAGCACTCTCGGTGAACGTGGAGCAGACCTGCTTCTCGGCCACACTCTTGCCGCTCAGACCGCGTGAGAGCGCGCAGACACGGAGGGCCACCCAGGTGGCAGTCAGTGTCCGGTATTGTCTCTTGAGTGTGGATCCAGGGGCTTCTGGAACGGCCTGAAGTGCCTTCTGCCACTAGTTTTCTGTATGTGGGCTGCAGTCTGTACAGGTATGGGAGCCGCAGCGAGTCCCTCTTCGTGGCTGGCGTCGCCCAATGGCTGTGGCAGGAGGTGCTCAGGGGGGTCTCCGGCTGCTCCGGCTCCTCTGGAGCGGGGCTCTGCACACGTGTTCTCACAGGGCTGGCTGCACGCTCCCCCCAAGCTTCACTCACACACACAGCGGCTGGGATTTGGCCTGGGAGGCTGGAGCTTGCCCGTGCCTGCACTGGGGCGACCGAATTCTAAAAAGGGCCTCGTGTGTCCATTCTGTTTGGGGTCTTGCAAAGCGATTCAGTGTCTCACGTGTATATAGGAGACGGCGTTCAGCTTCTCAGGAGAGCTGGGCGTTAGGCTCACAGCCAAACATCGGAATTTGAGACCCAGGGTTGTCTGTCCTCTTTCTGACTAATCATCCTATAAAATCTCTCTCTCTTTGGAGGTGAAGGTTTGGGGAGGGCCTGTTAGTGTATGGGACTTTTTGAGTCGAAGAAGGGCGCTCCCCCGGGAGAGCCGGGGGGCGATGGTGGGCAGACCAGATGCCATGTGAGCCACGCAGCTGGTGGAGGGTGTGACCGGGAAGGGCGAGTGTGTAGAGCAGGCACCGCCAAGGGTCCGGGACCGTTGTAGGAGCCGCAGACAGTTGAGATCTCGAACCTGGAGGAGGATGCACCTTAGGAGTGTCCGTCTGAAATGACTGAAGAGAAAGAACGAGAGTAAAGGCCAAGAGGTAGACGTGTGGTCCCCTCGTGTGATCGGTCGTGCCCCAAGAGGAGATCATAGAACAGACCAGTGTGGCGCGGGCAGAGCTGGTGCTGCCCAGGGTGCTAGTCCTGGAGCAAGGCAGAGAGGGCCGCTGTCGGGCCTCCCCCCTGCCCGCCCTCGGGCCCCGCTTTCCAGCCCCTCTGGGAGCCGTGCCCTTGTAGGGATCTGCCACCGGGCCACCCACACAGAAGTAATGTGAGCAGTAAGAAACTCCTGGACATCGTTATTGATTGAATTTTTAAACTGATAATTTAATCTCTCCGCACAATACAAAAATACCTGTTAAAGACAGCGGACTGTATTATTTGTAGGTGTGAGGACCCAGCTTAAATTTTTTTCCTTGTCCTAGTTTGCATGTTCCCTTCTCTAGTCTTCTAAATTGCTGGCACCAGAAGTAATAAATACTGATAAAATCAAAATTGATTTTTACCAGTGGACAGTTTATGCCTAGAGAGACGGCTTATACCTACATAACAGAAGGGGGAAAAATGAGGAACCTCCAGTGATCCGTGAAAACCTAAACGCTTTCAAACAAATCCCAGGAACAGAATTGCTATCGAAAGATATCAGTGTGGACTTGCAGGCTGTGTTGAGTCAGATATAACTGAATGCAGTGATGGCTCAGAGCTAAATAGCCTTTCAAATTAATTTGAAAACAAACTCGTGTGTGTGTTCGTGCGCGCGTGTGTGTGTAGCATATGTACCATATGTAAGTAGCTTAACATTCTTCAAATGGTGCCTATATTTTTTGCACTCACAAATCTTTATATTTGCAAACTCAGACTCCATGCCAAAATACAACAGCATTTGTCATTTTCAATCCCTTTCTCTAAAGATCTGGACCATTTACAAGTTTCTGGTTATGGTTTGTGAAATTCTTGGTTTGAAAGGAAAAAATAAGGAGAGAGATGGGACTTGGGCGTCAGTCACCTGGTGCCCTTGGTAACCCTCCCCCTGGAGCCGCGAAGAGGCCGCTGCGCCCCCTGCTGGTGATGGCAGCTCGCTGAGGGCGGCTTGCCAGTCCCGGACCTCCCCGGCCCCTTTCCGGCCCCTTTCCGTCGGGTCCATCCGGCTAGAGAAGAGATGTCAGAGGCGAGCGCTCTGGGGAACCGTGTCTCAGTCAAGCCTGGGCGTGTTTGCCGTTGGCTGGAAGCGAATGCTTCCAAAGATCGGCAGGAACAGTCTTGTATTTAGACAGTCCCCTGAACAGTGGACCGGGGTCCCCGGTCCCTGCACACAGATCTCATGAGGCCTGCGGTTACTGTCTGGTACTTGAAGAGCAGCCCAGAGACCACATGTGCTGCAGGTGAAGTGGGGTCCCTTGGGGGTGCCCTGGCCTGATTGGACTTGTAGCTGGCTTCCCCCTCCCCCGCCCTCCCCTTTGTTACCCTTCCTCAGACAGAGCCGCTTTGATAGGGAAGTTGCTATCTTACAGGAAGTTGCTGCTGTCCCGATGCTCCGTCTCCCCTGTGCGGAGCATTTCCAGTACATTCCCTCACTGAGCTGGATCCTCACAACAGCTGTCACCCAGGGGCCACGGGGCCTCTGATTTGCACACGAGGAAATGGAGCCTCCAGGAGGTTAAACTGAGCAAGTTTCTGGAACCTCTCACTGGGCACTGAGTAGGGGGCTCTGAGAGGCCTGCGGCGAGGCCCGCGTGCCCCTCGGAGCGGTAGTGGGGACGGCCCTGGGGAGCGAGCTCTCCCTGCACCACTGCCCGGGCTGTGCACGCACCCCTGATGTGCTTGCCTTCAGACCTTGTGCGCTCGCTCCGCAAATGAAGTCGAGAGAACCTGGACCCTCACTGAGATGCTTTTTATTTTCTCCTTTTGAAACAAAACGCACTTCAGATGGTGAAGAAATGTGCATTTTCCCATTTTCTCATTGCCTGGAGATCTCTGCCTGATGCTCCTGGGGAAGGGACTTGGGGGCCGTGGGGAGAAAATTGCTAGTCTGTCTCGGCGAGGTGCTTTTCTGGGGTGGCTTTACGTAACTTGTACATGAAATGTGAAGCAAGGGCAGTTCTTTAAAATTGCTTTCCTGGCAGTGGCCCCCCCGGGGGTTAGAAATCGCCAAGCTGCGGGGCTCAGACCTTTCCCTGAATCTGCGCTGCCCTTGCCTGGGACGTCACGGAAGGGAGCGAGTCGCAGCAGGCCCTGACGGGGGCAGCAGCCGGGAGGCAGGCTCAGGCATCTCCAGGGAGACTCGCAGCCCTCTCATCCCTGCGCCTGAGTCCCGTCCACTGCACCCCTAGTCCATGGGGCTCAGCCTCCATAGGGGTTAAACTGGGGTGCTCGAGGCCTCCCCATCTCCTGTCGGGGGATTCAGACCCCCTCCCTGGGGGTGCTCAGCTACATCGGTGCCACTGAAAAATAAGGTTTTGTTTGACTCCCTTTCATTACAGTGGCATTTGGGGACATCTAGGAGACAGGAATGCACCCCCTGTCTCCTAGACACGAATGGCCGTGTGCAATAGTTAGACGTGAGACCCGTGGCGGCAGGTGAGACTTCTGATGTTTTTCCCTGACGGAATTAATTCATTACAGAATGTCTGCATCAACTCTGTAGAGAAGGAGGAAAAAGCCAGCAGCCAAAATACAGCTATTACCTAACTTGCCATAGATATTTGCAATTATGATACCTTGGAATGTTGCCGCAATATGGATTGCTTTGATTAAAAGATGTCAGTTGAATAAAACAGTGCTCTGGGATAATAGTTTTCTGCTGCTAGATAAATGCCGATGTTTATTTTTAAATCCGGAAACATTGATCCTGTGACAATGCCCTATTAGAATTACTTTATTACAGCACAGGGTTGATGTATATTTAATCATTTGGCTAATGGACGCGGGCACAGGACCGACTGACACTCACTGCATCTTGATGAGCGGCGGGAGCCCGGCCCGGCCTCTGCAGGCCCGGCTGGCACCCCGGCCTCTCATTTCAGGCCCACGCGACGCCGTGGCCGCAGCCACACGGGTTACCTTTGACTCTGGATTTCCCTTCCGGACATGCCAGCTAGTGTAGACATAGCAGCTATCCCAACCCAGCTTCAGCACGGATCCGTGCTAACAAGGGTGCATCGCTTTTTGTGATTTCAAACGACGATAGATTAGCATGCATGTCTCTTTCAGCGCCTCGATGGTTTGCCCCGTGACACGAAAAAGGTCCTGTGCTTTTTATGAACCGGACGCCTGCATTCCCGTCTTTCCTTTGTATCTTAGAAGTGAGCTACATGCAGCTGTTACCCTCTACTGCAGCG